TTATCGCGAGAACCACGCCTATGGACCTCTATTTCAATGAACTTCGAAGATTCTCAATCAGATTCAAAACCACAAACAAGCATGGCCCTTTCTACATCCAGTTGACAAGGATGAGGTTCCAGATTATTATAAGGTGATCACGTCGCCAATGGACCTGTCAACTGTAGAAGAAAAGTTGGAGCGTGATGATTATGCTGCACCAAAAGAGCTTGTCCATGACCTTAAGTTGATCTTTAGCAATTGCCGGCAGTATAATGACGCAACAACCGTGTACGCCAAGTGTGCGGTGAAGCTGGAGAAGTACATGTGGAGTCTTATTAAGGAGATTCCAGAGTGGTATGCCTTAGTTGAAGATGCATGATTGGTGCTAGCGTATCCGACAATAGGAGATTCGGGAAAAGAGCCGGGCGATTGGAGTTCTAAGCACCTTGTGATGTGCGGCACAGCAAACCAGAAAAATTTTTCTGCTGTGGATGTTCGGCGCCCATCATCGTCCCAGCAAACCCAGTTAGGACCACAGATCCGGCATACCATGCATCAGTCCAATCACTTCTTTGGTTGGATGACCTCGACGAACCTTGCCTTTGGGCCTTTACTTTATCAGCATTGGGATTTTTGTGGTCGACGAGCACACTGTTACCCAAATGCGGGCATTTCTGAAGCCCAAGTGAACCTAACCGGAGGCGTTTCGAGGTATCTAGCTCATTCTAGGCCTTGGCGCTCAAGAGCACATTAACGGAGAACCAACCCACGCTAAGGTAGTCTACGATCAGCGTAGATAAAACCTCGTACTAGGTAACTTCGTAGAAGTGGTTCAATCATGGCGGCAGTCGAAAACGGTTATAAAAGGTAACAGCCCTGGTAAAACCGGCGCCTGAACTGACGCACTGCCGAATACCAGGTTGATATCACACTTGTGAGCATTATTTCTGTAGAGAAGAAGTTACAAGCTGCTTTCCTAAAAGATTCTAGGGAGAATATATCTTTTCTGTGGGCTTTCTGGTAAAATGCTTTAGAAGACATTGAGATTGTTGACTGCAAGATTAATGCATGATCAGCACCCAATGCGTTCTCCTCATGCCAGTGTTCACTCATACGTCTTCTCTGCCTCCTTCAGCTTGCCTTGATCAGAGGAGAGATGACCAAGGTTGTTAAGTGTACCCAACGTCGATATGTGAGTTGCATGACCAAGACCCTGTGCTTTCTCACAGCCTGCCAAGGCATCCTGATTTTGGCCTTCCTATATGGCTCCTGCTTCTCTGTGGGTTTGATATAAAATCCACCATCGTTGAGTGGTGTCGTTGAGTGGTAGATTACATCAACTAAGCCAGTCACGTGCTCATCCAGCTGCGGGCAGCCAGAGCAAGTCAAGCACTATCAAAATCGCGCCAAAACATTTGACGATTTCCACCAAAGGCCCCCATTTGCCATTGGGCTCCTCCACACCTCGACAAACAAGGACATAAAGGAGAGCCCATCTTGTAAAGCAATCCCCGATATACCAGACACAATGTCCGCAAAGCCGCCCGCCTCCTCCGTCCCCACCAAAACCGCCTCCACCGGCACCCGTGGCTACCTTTTCCTCTACAACGCCGTCTCCTTCACCCTCTGGAGCATCATCACCCTCCGCCTCTTCCTCCTCTTATGCCTGCTCGTCCCCACCGGTCACCTCAGCGCGATCTACAATGCCCTTTTCCCCCTCCTCAAACTCACGCAGTCCCTAGCGATGCTGGAGGTTCTGCACTCGCTCACGGGCATTGTACGGGCGCCGGTGATGACAACGCTGATGCAGGTTGCGAGTCGGGTGGTGGTGGTCTGGGGGGTGATGTGGATGTTTGCGGAGGCGAGGGTTGGGAGGGAACTAGGGATTCTGGGCGGGAAGAGCGCTGATGGTGGGCGGCTGGGGGATTGGGGGTTTGTGGGGTGTGTGGCGGCTTGGGGGGTGACGGAGTGTGTGAGATACGGGTATTTTATGCTGCAGATTTGGGGGAAGGGGATGCCGGGTTGGATCAGTTGGTTACGGTTGGTTTTTACATCTGATGCGATTGTCGGGAGTTTAGGAATATTGGCTGACTTGAAAGGGTTTAGATATAATACCTTTTTTGTGCTTTATCCTATAGGGATTTCCAGCGAGTGCTTGTTGATGTATCTTGCCTTGGGGCCCGCGTCGTCGGTGCATCCGTTGCTGCCATGGCTGTTCAAGGGGATTTTGCTAGTATATATTCCAGGTAAGCGGACGGAAGAAAACGATAGACACAAAAGCTCTATTACGAGTAAGTGTTTTTGCTGACCCGGGTTTAGGCTCCTACATACTGTACACGCATATGATGGCGCAAAGGCGAAAGGTCATGAAGGCCGCTGCAAAGAAAGGAAATTGAAACGACGGCAATATACGCAGTGTCTTCATCTTCTCGGATGTTTAATATTGGAACTTATGAAAGCGATGGTTGCTTTGTTGGGATTCAAATAAACCTTTTTAATAGACGAGTACGCATTTCAGACGACGCTCAGAAAGGGGTATCAAGGCGGCGTCACCTGTGTTAATATCAATACTTATAGTCTTAAAAATATGTATGTACAGGGAAAAGATTTTTATAGGTCTTTCATGATATCCCTTATTGCTTTGGATGCGAATCTTTTCCTTTCAGACTCTGGAAGATCGGCTCCCATGTCTAGAATAAAATATCCGTGAGAAATCTAGCAACTGGCTGAAGGGGCGGGAATCTTTCTTACCTCTAATAGCTTGCACTCTCAACATGAGCCCCTCCAACTGCTCAACCGCAAGGTCATCTTCGTCAAAATCATCCTCCTCTCCTTCCGTGCCATCACCTTCACCCTTTTCAATGGCCATGCGTAGCCCAAACATTTCCCGCTCCAATTCGCCAACTTCGATATCCAATCCTTCCTCGGCAAAATCGTCCAAGGAACCGGATGCGGGATTAGCTAGATCTTCGTGGCTCGCAAACATTGTCCATTCGTTGGCCTCAAGAACCTCCCGTATCCGCGGCATCCCTTCCAGCTCTATCATATGTTAGTCCAATGTCGGATAAAAGAGACTCTGTAAGGTAACTACCTCCAAATTCGTTCCTCCTCTTCTCTTGTTCCGCCTCGGCCACAGCAAGGTCCCAGCCCACAACTTCAAAATCATATATTCCCATCGCAGCCAACTCCTCATCCCACCATCTCACCCCATACTCATCTCCTTCTCCCAATCCCATCTCCTCTCCTGCTCCGCCATATCCACCCTCAAAATCCTCACCCAGTATTTTCCTCACTTCTTTATCCCCACTACCCACAAGAACTAACAGCGCCGGCACTTCGCCCGTCCCGCCTTCGCCTCTCTCTTCCTCAATCTTCTTCTTCACATCAGCCACCGCCCTCACCACCGTCTTCAAGGCAGCTGCAGCCTCGCATACCCGCCCCCTTTCCTCTATTGCTTCTCCAGCCGGAATCGCTGGGCTCACCGTGACCGGCTTCTGTAGCAGGATGAGCATTGCGCCGATTGCGGAGCGGACCTCTGCAGCCTGCGGCGCGAGGAAGGTAGTAGACCATGCGGAGGGTGTGGTATGTTCTTGTTCTGCTTTAGGCTGTGAGTTTGACGATAGTGGCAGTGCAGACGCCGCCATGGGGATTTCATCGACCCATATTGGGATATCCGCTGTGTAGTATTTGGTGCTCAGTTGTAACGGTGCGTGGGTGGTGTAGCCGGCGAATGTACCTGCTGGTTGGTTCTGGGATTCTAAAATAGTGTTAGAGATCATGATCAAGTTCTCGTAAGAGTTTCCAAGTAATTGTGCACCCACCTGGACTTCCATCATCTTTTGAGGGCGGCTCGGTAGGTAGGTGTGGGGAAATTGGTGTGCCAGTCAGGCGGTGCAAGAACGGCGGGACGGTATTTTCAGAGTGAGTATGTGGCGTGAGTATTAAGAGACGCTTAGGATTCGATATTCGAGCACCATTCTTTTGACCCGGCGCTGTAGCTTGCGTAGGTGTCGAAGACATGATGGTTTGCGACAAGGGCGGAGCGGAGTGGAGGAATAGAACAGCCAGTGCGGGGCGGGAGCCTCAAGAACTACGACTAGGCCGAAGCTTCGGGGCTGTTCATTCAACCAAAAGAAGACCCGGAGCGCAATATCAGTCTTTATAAAGCACTAATAGAGATTAATAGCTGATCTGGTTGATGTTGCTTATCACAATGATCACCTACACAGGGCCGAACCTACCCTGGGGCTTAAACGGAAGGAGAATATACAGCATAAGTAACCAGACACCTTGACACAAGATTTTGATTAAATGCTCAACGGGGTGTCTCTAATGATATATGGCCTGTTCCATGAGCGGCAACTGGAAGCAGCGTCACTGAAAAGTCAACCTTTTCAATTTCGTCCAAATATCAAACAGCTCAGATATTTCATCAGACAAACGCAACTCGGATTCTGCCCTTGGGGTTTGAAGACTCGCACGCCTTGGAAATCGCCAGCCGTTATAACCTAACTCCGAATCAAGCAGGAAAACGTATGATACCCGCCCTCGAGGCGGCTTTATTTTGCAGTACCGTGGCCAGTTCCAAATGTCGACCGTCACAAATATATCCCATTTAACCACGACGTTGGCCACGAGCCCTGTTCACCGTCGCTCTGCCTCGAGCCAAACCAACGCCTCTTCCGCGCTGGCCTCGTGTTCTAAACATGGGCGCATTCCTAAAACAAACGAGAGAGAATTATATCAGCATATGAAAACGGAATAGATAGCATATCATGCGATACAGATGGAGAGAGCTCGACATACCGTAACATGTCTGGTACAATAAAGAATCTGACATGACTTCCACGAATATAGACCTGATCAAGATGCGACACGCGGCCATCGCGAGCTGTGACCGTGATATCCTTGAGTTGGACGTTCATGTTATCTTCGGCTAATGCACGGTGTAATAGTTAGCATGTCTTGTTGTCGAGCGCTTTTGACAAAGCTAGAATTCGTGAGAGAGATTGTGGATTCGAATTAAGCGCACCTTCAAGGAGCTTTCCTCTGTAAACTTGACCAGATGTGATTTCGAGAGTGACGACATGACCCTTTTCGCAACGATAATCATCAGTATATCATTTTCGCATTGCCAATCTGCCCAGGAGGGTGTGCGCTCAGGCTGGGACTAACCTGTGCTTCATTGAGCAGCTTGATGGGAATGCCGATGGTGCTTGTTAACTTGCCCATGGCGGGTGACGGTAG